GAGGAGGAGGATGAGGAGGAGGTGAGGATCGATGATGATGCTGATGATGATGATGATGATGATGATGATGATGATGTTGATGATGGTGAGGAGGAGGATGAGGAGGAGGAGGAGGAGGAGGAGGAGCAGGGCAGGATCGACGACGATCGAGGTTCCTGGAGGTTCTTTTTTGTGTGTATTTCCCGGATGCCGCTGTCGGGTCGCAGGATCGCTCGACATCGACATGGAGCGAAATGCAGCGCCAGCTGGATGCTGGAGAGGTCAGCGGAGAGATTCTGAGCGGATGTCGTACTCGGGGGAGGAGGTGGAGGAAGAGGAAAGATGATGAGGTCGAGGCACTCGGTCTCGCGGCGGGTTCTCCGGAGGCTCCGCGGATCCTGCCCGATGCTTCTCCGCAGGCCATCGTACATTGCAGGCGACTGGCGCGAACGTCCCGGCGGTCACGTCGTGCGCGGCTTCCGCGTCTCCCCATCGCAGGGGACACCCCCGCCGCGCGGAGGCCTTGCTCCGCGACGTGATGTCGGAGCCCAGGCGGCGCGCTCCGTCGCCATCGGCGTCGAGGTGGTCGACTTGCGCACCCTGGCGCTGCGAAAACTACGCCGCCGCGTGAGGCGGGCCACCGAGCAGGGCTTCCAGGGCGCCTCGCTCGCCAAGGCGGGGGGGCGCTTTCGAGCTGGAGCCGCTGTTCGCGGAGCCCGTGCGTGCGGGCGCTGCTCTGGCGACCTATCCGGGGCAGGTGGGCGCGGGGGCACCGGAACCGCGCGCGCGCGCGCTCTGGCGCGGGGGCGCATGGCCACAGGAGCGGGCCCACCAGACGGGCAACGTGGCCCACCCCATCTGCAAGGCATGCAACGCGGAGATTCGGCACCGGCCGCCACCGCACCTTCGAGTGCGCCGCCAGAGTGGGGCACCGCCGCGCTGTAGGCGGGCGGCGCCATCGTCCACCGCGGAACTCGACCTAGGCCAGGGCCCGAGCAGCCCTGGGGCAGAGGCCCGGCGAGCGACCTCGCAGTGGAGCTAGGCCTGGAGGCGCTGCAGTCTTCCAGCGAGATCTTCGTGCGCGGCGACTACGACGGGCTGGCCATGGGCGAGGTGCACGCAGACGGCAGCCTCCTCTACGGCGAAGGCGCATCGCTGGGGAGGGGGGGATGGTCTTTCGCGCAGCTAACGGAGACCAATGTTTATTAGGCCAGTGTTGCGCGAAGCGTAGCAAGTTGATCGGGCGAACCGCATTTAGAGAAGTGAAAACCTAGACGAAGCACACTAGGCACAGTGTCCCAGAGGCAACGTCCCCTTCTCGTAGGCGCACACCTGGACAGGAGTGCGGCGGTCAGGCGGGCCATGTACACAGTGCGGCACAGAGGCCCCGAGACACGTCGTCTACGGGCCGCTCCCATGCGCGCAGTGGGACCAGGCCATCTTCAAGAGCGAGCTCATGGCTGCCCTGCGCGTCCTCCAGGCGGCCTGCCCGCCGGTCCGCATCTGCCCCGACTGCCGGGCCATCCTGGGTGGCGTCGCCCGCGGCCCAGCCTGGGCCGAGGACTCGGCCACCTTGCGCTGTGAACTCGGGCGTGAGTGCTGGGCCATGATCGGAGAAAACGGCGAAGTAGGGCCGAGATGCACAGTTTTCGTACGGTGCAAGCGCGCCGCTAGACAGCAGAGGGCCCAGATGGGCCCCGCTCAAACTACTGGCAGCAAGCGCGCCGATGAATATGCTGAGCTCGGAGTCAAGCAGCAGCAGCAGCAGCACGCACTCCGGGGCTGTGTTCAGGCGCTCAGAAGCCCCTGCAGAGCGCCCGGGCGCCCAGAAGCTTCTGCAGAGCGCCCAGGCGCTCAGAAGCTCCTGCAGAGCGCGCGCGCGCTCAGAAGCTTTTGCAAAGCCATCAGGCGCTCATAGGCTTCTGCAGAGCGCGCTCAGTCGCTCATATGCCCGCGCAGAACGCCCCGGCGTTCAGGGGCCTCAGAAACCTCTGCAGAGTGCGCGCGCTCTTCTGAAGGCTGGTTGTAAAGTGGCCGCGCTGGTTGCAAAGGGCCCCGACTGGGTTGCGAAGTGGTCGTTCTGGTTGTAGAGTGGGCTGTTCTGGCCGCCGAGTGGCTTTTCTCGAAGGGAAGCCCCATGGAATTTGATCCCTTGCTGGTTGTAAAGTCATTTATCTCGGCTGTAAAGTGTCGTTCTGGTTGCGAAGAGACCGACCCCCCCCCAGGAGTTGCCGGGCGGGGGCGGAGGCAGGGTCGGACGGGCCCGCGCCAGAGTCCACCAAGCGGCGCCGGGTGGCATTCTGTCAGGCGCGCCCCAGGCACACCGCGGGCAGGCGGACTGGCGTTTTTGCCAGGTGCCCCAGGGGGGGGCCCGGAAGATCTGGGCGCCTCGCCCGTTTGTGGCGCGGTCAACGCCCCGCCGCGAACGGGCCGCGTTGATCTGGCCCCCCAAGAACCGCCTGGGATAGGCGTGGGGCGAGGGAAGCGGCCTCCTTGGGTCGTCTGGGTCTCCGCGACGGCCCGACTTCTCCTCGCTGCGTTAATCTTCGCAAGTCCTCCTCCTCCTCCTCCTCCTCCTCCTCCTCCTCCTCCTCCTCCTCCTCTCCCCCCTCCTCCTCCTCCTCCTCCTCCTCTCCCTCCCCTCCTCCTCCGCCTCGCGCAGGGGGCTTGCGAGTGGCGCATGCGCGCAGGCATCTTCCTGCAGCCGCGCCTCGAGGACGTCGAGCTGCTCGCGGCGGCCGCAGGATGGCGGGTCGGAGCCTCCAGCGCGCTCGCGACGGTCGCGCGGTGGTCCGGCGATTCTTGGCAGGGGAAGCTGGGGGTTGTCCATCGGCGGTTCATGGGGCCCGACGTCGAGCAGCAGGAGGCCCGCAGGCCGCCGGGCCGCTCCAGGCTGCCAGGGGTGCCGCCTCGCCAGGGCCCCGCGGATGCCGGCGGAGGTCCGCGCGCGAAGATCGCCGAGCCGCCATGGGCGACGGGCGCGCGGCCGCAGGCGACCCGCGGCCATCGGGCAACTGGCTCGGCGCCGCCGTCGCCGCTGGAGCTGCGCCGAGGCGCTGCCGGGGCTGCCGTCGGCAAGGGCCCTGGCCGCTGTGCGATGTCGACGTTGGCCGCCCTCTACGGGCCACGCGCCCCGTGCGCCGGGCGGGCAGCCAATAATTGGAGCTGCGGCGAATTCGGCCTGACATCCACGCGCGCGTCGGACGCGCGCGGCCTCGCACGCTGGCGGCTCTCGCTCGAGCGGGGCCCCGTCGACGGCGCTGCGTCCGCGGGCCTGCCGCCGCCGTCGTCGCCGCGCTGCTGGGCGCCGATTGGCGCCCTGAGTCGCCCTTGCGATGGGCGCGGCCTATACGGGGCCCGACTCAGTGGGCGAGCGGCTCCTACCTGGGCCTGATGACGATGGGTTTGCCGGTGCCGACGCCTCCGAGCTGCTCGAGGACATGCGACTTTCGTCGTCGCGCGCGGCAGCGTGCAGCGCTTCGCCCCGCCGGTGACAGCCTGGTCGAGGGCTGCGGCGAGCCGCTCGACGAGCGCAGGTCCGAGCGCGATCAGTTGCCGCGTGTTTTCGACGGATCTAGCAGCCCACGCACGGCGGGCCCTCGTAGGCGCCGCGTTGGAGCTGGCGCTGTTGCTCCACGGCTCGACGGGGAATCGCGGGCGCCAACCACCGTCGTCATCGGCGGCTTGTGGGGGCCGGGCAGATTGCGCCCAGCGTTGAGTTATTCGCCCCTGCGCTGCGCCTCGAGCGGTCGACTGGAGAAATGCGTTTCCGCACATATTGTCGCTTGTTGCTCGAAGGTTGGAATGTCGGGCGCCTGAACTCGCGCGTCGGAAGCAGCGGCGACTTGCGGGCGCGTGCGAGGACCGCCTTTTCAGCTAGAGGATCGGTCCTAATTGATATCGAGATTGTCCGGATCCCGAGTCACTTCGACGATGATGTTGAGCGCGTTGAGCGCGAGGGTCTTCAGCGCGCTGCCCTGGGCAACGCTTGCGCTCGCAAGGCGGCGGGGGGCGCGGCCCGCAGGGCTTCCCGATGCAGCGAGCCTCGGGCCGACGAATGGGATGCCATCGCTGCCCCAGCGAGGCGTCGGGCGCGCCGGGCACTCGCGAACGCGATTTCCCAAGACCCTTGGAATTCAGCGCGCGTCGAGCGCGCCCGTCCGCCGACCCGGACACGTCTCCGGATTGCGTTGAGTCGCGGGCAGCCCTCCTGAGAGAAGGTTCAGGGGCGCTGGCTTTGCACGCGTTGTCGTAAACTTGCTCCGCCCGCCCAGGTCCCGGACGCCGCCGGCGCGGTCTGCGCCCCCCCTTCCCCCCCCGACCCTTTGGGGGGGCTTTGTTTTCCCGAGGGGTGTCTCGGTGGCCCAGGGTTCGATTTCGATGGGCGGCGCGGAGGCGCGCGACTCGCAGCGCATGCGGCCCTGACCAGAACTCTTTCTGTTTTTTCTGCTCCGCCTGTGGCAAGACGGCTTCGACTGACTGCAGGTATCTGTGCAGGCCGCGTCAGCTATCGCGCAAGGGCAAGGATAACCTTGCGCGCATTTCTCGAGGCCTCCACCCCCCACCCCTGCCCCAGGGGCTCCGAAGGCTGTTTTGGCGGTCCAGATGGTCCTCGCAGGTGGGGCGTCGCCTCTTCGCAGGCCAAGGGTGTAGGGGGGGCCTACTCCTCGTCTTCCTCGTCCTCATCCTCGTCGTCCTCCTCCCCCCCTCCTCCTCCTCCTCCTCCTCCTCCTCCTCCTCCTCCTCCTCCTCCGCCTCCTCCTCCCCCTCCTCCTTCTCCTCCTCCTGCACCTCCTCCTGCTTCTCTCGCGACCCTCGTGGTCCTCTCTCGTTGCCCTCGTCGGCGCCGGCCGCCGACGACAGCGGCGCCGGTCGACGACCGACGACCGCCGTCGACGCCGACAGCCGCCAACTGCCGACGCCGACAGCGGCGGCGCCGACGACGACGGCGCCGACCGCCGACGGCGGCGGAGCCGACGGCGGTGGAGTCGAGCGTCGACGCACGTCGACTGCCGTCGCGCGCCGAGGCAGTGCCCTCCGCGCCCACGCCGGCGGAACGCTCGCGCGCCAGCGCCGGCGCGGAGGGGCCGGCGGCGCCGACGGTCTCCTTGCCGAGCCCCCGCGAGGCCGCGGCTGCGATGGCAGCGGCCGAGCGCCGTCGCCGCCGCCGCCGGACTTGGAAGAGGGCGGCAGCGACCACGACGACGACGACGACGACGACGACGACGACGACGACGGCGACGACGGCCACGGCGACGGCGACGGCCGCGGCGACGGCGACGACGGCGGCGGCGGCGGCGGCGTGGGCCGACCTTGAAATCTTGACGAGGAGGGCCTCTTCGCACAGCGCCGCTGGCGCCACCGCCATCGCTGGAAGGCGGCAGCGATTGTGGCGATGACGACAATCTATTCGCGGCGCCGACGGCCTCCTCGCCGAGCCCCCGCGAGGCCGCGGTTGCGAGGGCCGCAGCAGAGAACTGCCGCCGCCGTCGGGGGAGGGCGGGAAACAACGGGTGCGACGACGACGGCTGCTGACCTAGAGATTGTAGTTGTGATATGGATGGCGCGCGCGGCGCGACGATCTTTGGGCGAAAGAGAGCGCTGCTCGATCAATCTGCGTAGCTCTAAGGCCAAGGGCCCTAGTAAATTCCGAACCAAAACGGGCAGCGGGGAAAAGGGTGAGAGCAGTAAGAGCAGGGGCAGGAAAGGCTCGGGGAGTGAGCGGGAATCACACTCCTCCTGATCGGCGCTCGCGGCGCCGTCGAGCGACGATCACCGATCGCAGCTCATTTCATTAGTCAGGGCGCTTCGCTGAGAGAGCGAGCGCCGACACACACCCTGCTATGGATGCTGGGCACAGCATCTCCACCAGAACAAACACAGGCAAACGGCCTTGTCGGCATGCTATCCGGCTGCCTCTGGGCATTTAACGGGTGCTGCTACACGCACCGGCAAGAAACAAATAAACTCTCAAAGCAAGCAGCAGCGCGAGTCCGATCGCTATGCGACAAGACTCAAAGAAACGCTATCTTATCGAGATAAGGTCTTAATAGTGTGGTCGTCACCACATGGGGAAAAACTGTGCACACCGAATGAAGCTTCGAACGGGCTGTGGGTGCCGAGCGCGGCAGTTCCACAATCAAAACAATGCGGACTAGCGTAGTCTGCCACACGATGTGGCACCAAGTGTAAAGAAAACAAGCTGGCAAGACAATGCGGACTAACGTAGTCTGCCACACGATGTGGCGCCAGGTGTAAAGAGAACAAGCTGGCAAGACAATGCGGACTAACGTAGTCTGCCACACGATGTGGCGCCAGGTGTAAAGAAAACAAGCTGACAAAACGGAGCAGAGCGGCGGCACAGAGCGGCGGCTTGCATCACGAAATCTTCTTCTGAGCTTTCGCGTTGCCGGGCAACCCTTGAAGCTGCCTCCATCTGTTTTGCAAATCCCAGCGCAGACTATTGTGCATCTTCGAAAAGTCTGGCTCATGGGTCACGTGATTCCTGCGAAGCCATGACGCATGCTTCCGGCACGTCCTGCAGGTCACGTAGACACTATGTGGGTTGTGTCCCACGCGTATGTTGTGCTCGGCGATCACACATGCGTTCATTTCCGATGGCGAAACCGTTGGCGTTGGTCCGTTCCACGAAACCACGCTGGCTGACGAAGAACTTTGAACCGTCATCGGCGATGATGGCGCAGAACTCGCTCCCTGCGCGAAGCTGTCCGGTGATGGTGGCGGTGCGGCTGGCGCTGCCGATCCGCTTGCTGATGATGAACTCTGGGCTGCGACGGCAATCATCGGCGGCTCCATGTGGACATCTCCGTCGGCGTCTTCGGGAATGGTAGGCGGTACGTTGTTGCGGCGTCCAAGGTATCGTCCATCCCATCCTGGATATACTCCGGGCAAGGGGATGTCCGCGTGCCCGGTGTGGTCAGCCTTGGACCCATTGTTGGTGTTGTTGATGGTCCCGATCTGAATGGGATTGGGGTCGCCTGACCCAAATATCTCTCTTCGCACCACAAACCACAGCGCTGCGAACAATGTGAACCCAATCATGATTCCACTGAGCATCGCGATGAATGTCATGTAGTAGACCCAATATGATATCGGCACTTGCCACTCCTGCGAGGTAGGCTGTGCCTTCACGCGTCCGAGACATGTCATCAGCACTGAGGCAAGCATGGCGGCGTGCGGTTGCCTAGTGCCAAAGTTGTGCTTCTTGGCCCCGAAGAAAGCGAGGAGCACTCCGGTCTCCATGATCTTGGTGAGCGCGTCGGCGACCATACTCCACGTAGGTATTCACGAGAGCTTCAGCTGGCTGTTGGGGTGCACCGTCTCCTTGATCATCGATGCGACGATGCGGAACCGCTTGTCGGTGGATTGGCCCACGTCAGATTTGATGTGCGTAACCAGGCCGTTGCTGTCGCTGTAGATCTCCCCGGATCGTTTGGTGCTGAGGTCGTCGATCTGCTTGAGCGTCTTCTTCGGGTTGTAGGCCTCCGTGAGTAGCTGGCCGAACCAAGTACTCGACTCGGCGCCCTCCAGAGTGGCGTAGCCCTCGGCGGCCAGCGTCGACTTCACGGATCGCTTGACCGTGCCCGAATGCCAGGCCACGGGCAGGCGCAAATCATATCGTCCAGCCACGACGTCCCGTGGCTTGTGAGTTAGCCCAATCGCCATGCCCCACTGGCTCTTCACCCCGTCCACATTGGCGAAGGCCGCGTCGCTGAAGCAGATAATGGTGCAAGTGCGCAGGTCGATGATGTTGCGCTTGATGACGATGGCGAAGTCGGCGGACCCGTGCACGTAAGCGACGGTCTTGTTCAGCGTCTTGGCGTCGGCCACGGTGGCGGTGTTGGCGCGGCGAGCTGAAAGGCTCACCGGGCAGGCGATGTCCACTCGCGTCTGCACTGCGAGCCAAAGCAGTTGACCGAGTGCGTGGCGATATCCCGAGACCTCCGAGGTGGTAAGCCGATCCTCTGGTGATCGTCCGCGCTGGGCGTTGAGTTCGATGAAATCCACCTGGGCGGCGGCCGTCGCCTGGGCAATGCGGAACTCCTCGTTGATCTTGTTGATGGTCCGGCCGCAGTACTTGATGATACCCTCTACCTTCTTGAGGTGCAGCTTTTTCTGCAAGGAGCTAATGACTCGCTTCCACTCGCTGGAGTTTCCGCGCTGGGCGATGAGAAAGTCGTCCACGTGGGAGTGGATCATGGCAGCGAGCCCTTTGTCGTCGCAGAAGTAGTAAAGGCCCTTGTCGAGCTTGCTCTCGATGAGGCCGTGCTCCTGGAACACCTTCTGGGCGTAGAGGTACCACTGGCGTCCTGCATCTCGGGCACCATAGATGGCGCCAGTCGCCATCACGATCTCGCCGGGCAGTGTGCCTGGCGGCGGATTCTTGGCTGGCATGCGTAGCAGTAGCAGCCTCTCGATGTTGCCCGACTGCAGGTAGGCCGTCATCGCGTCGTACGACGTGAGTTCCCAGCCAAGCTGGGCGGCGGCAGCAAGCGTGAGGTAAAGCGCGCCCCTTGACCCGGTCGGCGCGTCCGCACGGATCTGGGACTTGTCCTCTTGACAGCCCTGGACGACAAGGCGGGCCTTCATGAGATTGGCGGCCTTCTGCGTGAGCACCCAGCGGGTACCGACTGGTCGTATTCCAGGGCGTCGCTGGAGGATCTCCTTCAGCTCCTTGGGCGGCAGCTTCTTGTAGGCCCCGAACTCGGTCCACTTGGACCACTCGACCTTCATGGCCGTGTCCATGAGCTTCTTGTCCTTGGCGGAGAGCTTGTCGTACCTGATCTCCTTAGCAGCGGCCTTCCCGGTGAGCATGACCTCTCGGAGTCGAATGGTCGAGTGCAAATCGTCGTCGCTGACCTCAAAGTAGTTGTCCAAGTAGAGGTCGGTCCTGAGTGTGTCTTTTGGCCTCTTGAAGCACTTGGGTAGGTCGTCCTTGAGACTCTCCAAGAACTCCTTGCGCTTGATGGCTTTGCTGCGGTCGTCTGTCTGGTCGTGCCTGTCACGTTGAAGTGCGCGAGGTGCGTCCTCTTGTTGAGCTTGGCGCTGAGCCTTGTTGCCGCGTTGTCCCTCAGGATATTGTGGTCTGCGGGCAAAGGCTTCTCTGCGAACTTCCTCCTCCGCGGCCTTGCTCCAGTCGCGTAGCCCTTCGGATCCGGAGCTGTCGGCATCCGATGAATGTCCACCAGCTTCTGTGCGTCGAGCTCCTGGTGGTGGAAGTCGTACTCCATCGCGTTCTTCAGGCTGTTCGTCGTGTACTTCTGGTTGCACGGCGAGTTCTGGAGCTGGATCTGCAGCGCGATCTGGGTCTTCTTGGGCTTGTATTCGAGCATGAGCGGGGTCAGCGGCAGCAGCTGAGTCAGAAACAGGCGCCGGCAGCCCGGGAAGGTCCCCCCCCGAAGGTGCTGGTGCTGAACCGCTGCCTGAGGCGCCCCCACTTGTCGCATATTCTTCATCTCCTTGCCGTCGGCGAATCCACTCAAAGGTAGCATGAGCGCGGCGATTGTGTGGGGTATCTTCGATGTTGCCGAAGTTGCGCTGCATGATAGCCGTCGGCGGAGGTGGTAGTGCTGGCGGAACGTTTTCCATTCGCGGGCGTTTCTTCGGCGTTTCGCCCGTGAGGTCGATGATTGTATCTCCATCTCCTCCTTGATCTGATGGTGGTAATCCGCCTCCACCGCCGTCTCTTCCTTCATGTGGTGATCCTTCGTCCCCTCCTCCTGGTTCTGGTGGCCGTGGTCCGTCAGGAGGTGGGGGCTGGTCAGCTGGTGGTTGTCCTGGCGGCGGTGGTGGCTGGTTGCCGTTCATGGCGTTGAGCACCTGTCCCCAGGGCACGAGCTCTGAGGCAGTAGCGTGTCGTAAATGTGTTCGGTTGACCTTGACGGTGGTGGAACGGTGGCTGACCCATGCGTTCGATGTGCCCTCGAAGCCGATGGTGATGCCGGGTCCATGCCACTGCAAAGCCCATTCGCGCTTGGGCTTGCCGTTCCCCCTCCAGTAGTATACCTGGCCCCCCGTTTGGTAGACATCCGACGCGTGCTGAGCTCCATCCGCACGCGATCGTGCGAGTAAAGCCCGGGATAGGGACTGGTTGAAACGCAGATGC